TTCCACTAACCACCAACTTATAATGAAAGCCGCTTTTGTGGGGCGGCGGTTACAGAAGCGAGGCACCTCAAATGGATTCGTGGGGCTCGATTATTTCGCTGCCGCTGGCGGCGGGGAGATGCGAGCGGGAGGACGTGTAGAGGAGGAGTCTGTGGTGTGTGTGTGTGTGTGTGTGTGTGTGTGTGTGTGCGTGTGCGTGTGCGTGTGCGTGTGCGTGTGCGTGTGCGTGTGCGTGTGCGTGTGCGTGTGTTTGTGTGTGTGCGTCTCTGTGTATGTGGGCGTTTCCTTTATAACTGCAGGCTAAGGGGGCATAAGTTTATGGCAATAGTAAAACCCAACTGAGCCGAGCTTTGAAAGGCGTTTACTGAACCACGCCTATCCGATCCAGACGTAAACCACATTCTATCAAGAGCATATTAAGAAGATACAAACCTTCTTAATACGCTCTTGATTCTATCCGTCTGCTCTCGTTATAATCCCTCTCTCTCTGAATATTCACTAGCCGCTCACTTTTTTCCAGTCGCGGCCGCAAAGTTGTCATTTCAAATGTGTTTCAACTATAAGCAAACTCATGGTCATCAAATCTAATAGTGTCAACCTTGATCGTATTAGACTTATAAACAACAAAACTAACACTACTACGCAAATAGAACTTAATTACACCTTCTAAACGTTTGAATATCAAACAATTTGCATGTACTAAATGGCATCACATGATCACTACCACTCGACATGCACAGCACTAATTAATAGTAAATTACTATAACGAAAAATATTGGAACTAATTAAACGCTCGAAGGGGTAATTAATGGGTAATTAAGTACGTATCGATCTCGTGGTTTGACGTACGTAAGATTAAATGTTTATGGTAGGGCGTTCGTAGGTCCACTAAGATTACTGTTAATGGCTCACTCCTACGATCAATGGGCCATCAAGATATGTGCTAATGTTGATGATTCCCTGCTACAAACAAGAGATCATGGAGAACACTGTTAATGTCAATGGGTCATTAATGGGGATATTGTCTATGCATGCATGAGAAACGTTAATTAACGCACCTCGTTATTCTTGGCGTCTGCTGCTGTCTCGAGCAGACGAGAGAGGAACGAGCCGGAAGAGGTCGCTGCTGTGTTCGCCACTCCGAAGGCTTCCCTGTCGTTGACGAAATATTCCGAAGGCGCTCCGAAAGACCTCGCAGGGTAAGAGTTCTGGCAGAGTGCGGGCGGACACTGCGTCGCTAGCAGCAGCACCAGCAGGGCAGCTGCCAACGACAGCGGTATCCGGTCACTGGCCATCGTATCGTGGAGTCGGTGATGTTTTGTACTTCACAGTACTGCTCTATTAGAATAGACAGCTGCGTTCACTAACGCTGCACTATTAGGGTAGACAACATTCACTAACGCTGAACTATTAGGGTAGACAACACTCACTAACACTGAACTATTAGGGTAGACACCGCTAACTGTTCGATCACTGCGTGCTGGTATTACAATGCGCGGCGTTGTGTCACACACAGACTTGTTGCTTTTATCGGTGCGTCTTATCGGTAGCGGGAGCGATAGCTGGTTGGGGCGCTGCCGTCAGTGTCACCAAAGCTCAGACTTGCTTCTCCGTCGACCTGAAGTGATCAGCGCAATCTTTACGCTCTCGTTTGACTGTCTCTGGAAGCTACTAGTTTATTCCTCTTCTGTGTGCTGTTGCGCTAGACCTAACGCGTCGATGCTCGTCTGCTAGTGTATGGTTGTGTTCACTGATGCACGCTGTAACGTCGCAGTGGGTTTCGTTGGTGGTTCAGCCGTTACTGGTGGGTGCGAGATAGTGTGGCGCAGATATACGCGCGTGTCGCCGGTGACTCCCAGAGGACGGGCCGGAATGGCTAGCGGCGGTAATGACTTGTAATCTATGCTGCGGTTACACACGGAACCACCGTTGAGAGAGAGAGAGAGAGAGAGAAAGCAATAACCAGTACATGAAGTGTGATCATCACCATATCTGCACTCGGCAACGTCGTTCACTGAACCAGTGCACCCGCAGCGCCACCTAGTCGTTAGTATAGTATACATATATCATGCAGCGGCACCTGGTAGCGACTGTACTATTTCATGCACACGTGGTGCCACCTGGTGGCGACTGTAGTGGTATGCGCGTGGATGCTTTCGTCGTGTTAGTAAATAAAGCCACGTGGGCAACAACCTGCGTAGCTAGAGACTCTCTGTGTCTGAACAAAATTACTAGCCAATAAGCTCCAGGACCGTGGAAGTTGGAAACAAGTGTGGCGCGGTCTTGTACACATACAGAGGCTCTGGCTATGCAGGTTGCATGGGGGATGACTCACATGAAATTCTACTCTGAGACAGGAGGGCATTGCTACTTCCCATATCGTCGATACCTCCTACACCTAGACGAACAAAGATAAGAACTGGAGGCCTATTCTAACCATCGGAACCCCCCTCAAGAAAATTTCGGCGTTGCTGTAATCCGAAACAGTGTTTCAGGGCTGAGTCTAAGCGTGGGGAAATAATCGTTTTCTGCCGATAAAAAAATCATCAAAGCGATAATAGCTATAGTGATAACTCTCTAGTGAGCCGATAGAGGGCGAAACTTACGAGCACGTGTTGTGATTGAAGACCTGGCCGGTGGCGCACCCTGTGATCACGGGGCATCTGCACTGGCAGAGACTCTTGTTCCATTCGTGCGGGTAGCGGCAGCTGCTCGCCTCGTTACCATTCACACACTTACACTGACAATCCTAGAACGAGCAGCAATCATCGCTTATGAAGCCATAATATATGCAAAACGCGTGGACCGACGGCTCAGGTCTACCCTAGGACCCCTTGTGCATGTTCGTGGCGGTATGATGAGAGCCTTTGTCAGGTTTAGGGTGAATAGTTAGGGTTAGGGTGAATAGTTAGGGCGATGACGATAACGATGACGATAACGATGACGATAACGATGACGATAACGATGACGTCGACGATGACGATGATGATTATTCGTGTACGAGAGTCCTCACGAAGACATGAGTTGACCGTGTTAATAAATCTATATTACTACAGGCTGGCAGCAGTAATAGCAGTAGCAGCAGCAGTAGCAGCAGGGCAGCAGCATGCATAGCAGTAGTAGCTAGTAGTAGTATCAGCAGTAGTAGAGTACAGTGGGCAGGCAGCAGCAGCACCACGCCCGTTAAGACTGGTGGCGATTTTTATCGCTAGTACCGGCGATTCTGTTGCCGGCGACAAAATCGCCGAGAAATCGCCACGTGTGCGCTGGCCGCGCGTCACGCGATTTTGACGCCAGAAACTCGTCGCTGAATGCCCATGCACTGAACATCGCGTTCTTGTCGCCGCCCTGGCGATGGATCTCGCGGAACAGTTTTTGGATTAACCAATCAATGCATGATTTGAAGCACGTGATCAAAATATTGGCAGCGCGCCGTGTGTGGTTTGAACAGTGTCACGTAGCAGTTCATACCAGTGTATGTCGCTGATAGACGGTTGAATTGTCGCCGGGTGGGCGACACGTGGCGATTTTTATCGAGCAGTACCTAGCGATAAAAATCGAGGTACTGTCGATAAAAATCGCCACGTGTGCGCCGGGCTTTACACCACCGCAGCGAGCAGCAACAGCGCCGCCACCACACCACCACCACGCAGCAGCAGCAGCAGCCAGGCAACAGCGCCGCACCACACCACCACCACCAGCCGCCAGGCAAGCAGCAGCAGCAGCGCTGCACCATCACCACCAGCAAGCACTAGTAGGCCAGTAGCAGTAGCGCTGCCACATCACCACCAGCAGCAGTAGTAGCAGTAGCGAGCAGCAGCAGGCAGCAGGCACAGGAGCAGCAGTAGCAGTAGTAGCAGCAGCAGCAGCGCAGCGCTGCCACCATCACCACCAGCAGCACTAGTAGCAGTAGCAGCAGCAGCAGCAGCAGCAGCAACGCTGCCTGGGCACGCGGACAGGCACTCACCTCGTAAATCTGGTTGGGGCCGCACTCTGACGCAGGTATCTTACAGGCGCACACGCAGCTGTTCTGCTTGTGCGTCTCTATCGGCACGTGTTCTTCGCCGACGTACGTGAAGTACTCGCTGTTGGCACCCTCGTAGCGCACCCGATACACCTATAAACACGCACGGAGGCAAACCTTGACGCGTGAGTTAGGGGTCACCTACACGCGCCACGTGCACGTGCTCGCACGCGCTTACCCAGGCGTGTCGGACACTGGCGCTACTGCGAACAACGTAACATATCGATTAAACAGTTTACGAGCTTTAGCAGTAGGGGAAATGTCAATGCTCGGTTTATGAGTTTAGGAGATGCCATCATGCCATCACAGTAGAGAAAACACAGTGTGTTTACATTGTACATATAGACTTGTTCTCTTCATGTAGACCTGTTCTTACACGTGAACTAGTCCGAACCACTAGCTGATATCTATACACTAACTAGTTAGTATAAATTATGGAGATCAGTGCACCTAATCCGCTCACCTTCGTGTAGACTAGTTCTCTTACACGTGGACTAGTCATAACCCGCTCACCTTCTTATAGACGATCTCGACACCTGTAGAGTTGCAAGCCATGTAGTCAGAGCAGCAGCCTCGGCAGCGGTTCACCTCGACACAGCTGGGCCAGCGCAGCTCGGCCGCGTTGGTCGGCACGGGCACGTCGACGATGGTCGGCCGCACCTGACAGGTGGCGAACGTCGCGATCTTGTCCTCGTACACTGTGTGCGGTGAGGAGAAACGGACGCGCCGTGTGATGAAGGCTATAGCTCTCTCTCTCCCCTCTCTCTGTCTCTCTCTGTCGGTCTCTCTCTCTCTCTCTCTCCCCTCCTCTGTCTTTCTCTGTCGGTCTCTCTCTCATCTCTCTCTCTCTCTCTCCTCTCTCTCTCTCTCTCTCTCTCTCTCTCTCTCTCTCTCTCTCTCTCTCTTCTCTTCTCTCTTCTCTGCCTCTCTCTCTCTGCTCTCTCTGTCATCTCTCGCGTTCTTCTCTCTCTCTCGTCTCCTCTCTCTGTGGTTGTGTGTGTGTGTGGTGTGTGTGGCGTGGGCGTGTGCGTGTGCGTGTGCGTGTGCGGTGTGCGTTGCGTGTGCGTGTGCGTTGCGTGGTGCGTGTGCGTTGGCGTGGTGCCGTGTGCGTGTGCGTGGGCTGTGCCGCTTGCGGCGTGCGTAGTGTGGCATGTGTGCGTGGTGGGAAAGCGCACTAGAAGAAATATCATACAAAAAAGCATAGAGGGAATATAGAATTAAAAGTTATATGGGCGTAGAAATTAGTGGAATGGTAGATGATAAGGTGACGTGCGGCAGGACATTGTCCTTACCTGGAGTCTGTGGTCCTCCCGTTATGCTAAAGGTATCGTGCACTGTCAAACCGGTTGCTTAGGGATGTTTCAAAGCCGCCGTTGCCGCTCCCTGGGGAAGCGGACGAACTACGGATAATTAACCTCAATGTGAGGATTAGTACGTCTGCGTGAGATGCGTTTATTGAGAGTGCATTATAATAATAATAATAATAATAATAATAATAATAATAATATCCTTGGCCCCACACTGCACAAGAAGTGCCAGAAAATCGCACTACTGGGAACAGCACACATCCTGCGAAAAATTGTGATTGAATCCTATGTCCCCGTTGGAACACGGTCAACCCAGAACCACGCGCTAATGCCGTGAACCACTTTGGAAATAATAATAATAATAATAATAATAATAATAATAATAAGATAAGAGCGGCGCAAAACTTTGTCGTTACTGCAAGGATCCGTGCGTCTATTGCTTCCGCTCTGCCCCCCTCCTCCTTTTCCTCCTCCTCCTCCTCCACGTCCTCGTCTTCCGCTTCTTCTTCTTCCTCCTCCCTTCTCCTTCCCCTTCATTAGCCTCCTCCTTCTCCTCATCCTCATTATCATCATTAAATGCTAGATTTATACAGTTTAGCGTATTTGCCAGGAAGCCCAGCGATGAGTTACTAGTAAAGATTATCACCTACGTACAATACTTACGGCCTGGAACATTCTCTTTGCGGCTCGAGCTATCTGTACGGATACGATCAGGCGCTCCGACCACAAACGAGTTGATGAAGTCTTCGGGCGTCTGCACGGAACTGAGCCGTATCAGCAGACTGGTGGGAATCTGTGAGAAAAAAACACACACCGGCGCATCGTCATTACGTACGTCACATCATGACGTCATAACGCATACGAATCTTATACGTACGCGTGTACACGTCATTACGCATATGCATCTCCTTACTGCGATTCTACTCACGCATTCTAACCACGTGTATACACGTAGAGGGAACACTCTGGTTATGCCACCTTCATTTCATAGTGCTTCTTCTTACTACATACGTTTACTGCATGAACTACGGCCGCGTCCGAACCACTCTAGTCTTCACTTCGCATCCGATACGACCCATCCCACCGTTACCGTGGTAACCACGACCGGACGTTGGAGGCGATCGCAGTTATATGCTGGTGTTTCTGCTGCGATGTACGGCGCCTGTAGAACGTACCCCACCCCCTCACGGTATCCGCGCTACGGCTCCCATTACAGTCTGGTACAGAGAAGCGCACGACGTGTACGGTCGCTGTCGTAACCTCGGCGTGCCGGATCTTACGGCACCATATTTTGCGCAACCGACCTCGTGGCGTGCCGACGCCCGTGCGCGCGTGCGTGCGTGCGTGCGTGCGTGCGGCGTTCTGAGACGGAGGCACGTGCGCGCGTGGTACGAGAGGAACGACCACCGCGACAATTCGGCTACGTCATCAGTGCGTGCTGACGTCACGCCCTGCAGACGAGGTTAGTTCGTATGTACGCGGTAGCGGCGTCAGCGCTGGCCCGCGGGTTATGGGTTGTTTATGTTTGCGGAGATGGATGGATGCGCCCGAGCTCATCTGGATCTGAATAGTTTACTGCGTAACCCACAGTTACGTGGATAATAACGCAGTGACATTCCGTAAGGAATAAACGTCCAGGGCTATAGCTAGCCATGGGGTGTGACCTAACTTGGGTAAAGCCAGGTAGTTAGCCTTTTAGCCGATGCACCTCGGTACGCTCCAACCCACAATAACACGCGCGTCTGTTGTCATGCACGATGAAGGCGCGTTTCGCGTTGATCCTTCCATGCATGGGCGTGCGCGTGAGTGTTTGTGCTGATACTTGCGTGCGTGGGTACATGCGTGAGTGCGTGCTTGCGTGCGTGCTTGCGCGCGCGTCTCTCTCTCTCCGCGTATGTCTCTCGGTGAGTCGGTGTGTGTATGTGTGTGGCTGTGTGTGTACGCGCGTGTGTGTGTGTGTGTGTGTGTGTGTGTGTGTGTTGTGTTGCGTCGCGTGGCTGCGTGTGCGTGTGCTGTTGCGTGCGTGTGTTTGTGTGTGGGTCTCTGTTATGTGGCGTTTCCTTTATAACTGCAGCTAAGGGGCTATAGTTTATGGGCAATAGTAAACCAACTAAGCCGAGCTTTGCAAAGCGGTTTACTGTAACACGCCTATTCCGATCCAGACGTTAAACCACAGTTCTATCAAGAGCATATTTAAGAAATACAAACCTTCTTAATACGCTCTATGATTCTTCGTCTGCTCTCGTTATAATCCTCTCTCTCTGAATATTTCATATGCCGTCTCACGTTTTTTTCAGTCGCGGCCGACACCAAAGTTGTCATTGCAATGTGTTATCACTATAAGCAAACCAGGCTTACAAATCTAATAGTGTCACTTGATCGTAATTGACTATAAACAACAACTATACACTATACGCAAATATGAATTAATTACCCTTCTAAACGCTTTGAATATTCAAACAATTTGAGGACAAATGCCATCACCATGATCACTTACCACTCGACATGACCGCACAATGAATAGTAAATTCTAAACGAAAATATTGAACTATTAACCTCGAAGGCGTGTAATTAAGGGTTAATTAAGTACGTATCGATCTCGTGTTGACTTAGTAGATTAAATGTTATTGTAGGGCGTTCGAGTCCACTAGATTATTTAATGGCTCACTCCTACTGTATCAATGGCCATCAAATATTTTAATGTGATGATTCCGAGTAAAACAAGAATAGGAGAACACTGATTACATGTCAATGCTCATTAATGGGGATATTGGTCTAGGCATGCCATGACGAAACGTTTAAATTCAACCAACCTCGTATTCTTGGGGTCTGCTGCTGTCTCGAGCAGACGAGAGAGCCGAACGAGCCGGAAGAGCGTCGCTGCTGGATACTTCCCACTCCGAAGGATATCCCGTCGTGCCACGAATATATTGCGAAGGCGCTCGAAAGACATGCAGGGGTAAAGTTCTGGCAGAGTGCGTGCGGACACTGCGATCGCTAGGCAGCAGCACACCAGCAGAGCAGCTGCCAACCACAGCGGTATCGGTCACTGACATAGTATCAGTGGAGTCGGTGATGCTTTTGATTCACAGTACTGCTCTATTATGAATAACAGCTGGCGTATCACTAACCTGCATCTATGTAGGGTAGACAACATCACTAACTGCTCAACTATTAGGCGGTATACAAACTCACTAACAAGAAATTAGGATAGACACTCTAACTGTTCGATCACTGCGTGCTTGCGGATTACATGCGCGGCGTTGCTTCACATCACATACTTGTTGCTTTTATCGGTGAACGTCTTATACTACGCGAGCGTAGCTGGTGGGCGCTGCCGTCAGTGTCACCAACAGCCTCGACTTTGATGTCTCGTCGACCTGAATGTGATCAGCGCAATCTTCCTCTGTTTGACGTTCTGGAACTTACTAGGTTGATTCCTTTTTGTGTGGCTGTGTCGCTAGACCAACGCGTCGAATGCTCGTTCCTTAGTGTCGATGGTGTGATCACTGTATGCCACGGCCTGCTAAGTCGCAGTGGTTGTGTCGTTGGTGGGTTCACGCCGTTACTAGGGGGTGCGAATATGAGTGGCGTCAGATATACGCCTTGTCGCGGTGACCCAGAGCGGCCGAATGGCTAGCGGCCGGTAATGACTTGTATCTAGCTGACGTTACAACACGGAACCACGTCCGCGGCGCGCGCTCTCTTCTCTCTCTCATCTCTCTCTCTCTCTCTCTCTCTCTCTCTCCTCTCTGCACACTAGATGCTATCTCTTATCGTATCATCTCTCCTCACTCTCAGATCTCTCTACTTCACTTCTCGGTCCATCTCTTTCTGCTGAGAGATCTTCGAACGCTGATCCGTGGAGACTGAAGACCTGCGAAATATTATCGTACCGTTTACGTCGAGATGTGCGGAGAAGATGGCGTTGTCGCTGTCTATACTCTTGGTAAGCCTACGCGTCGGCCGGGGGCTGCGTGCGGGCACGTCTCGCATCACTAGTCTCAGCGTTGTTGGCGCATCGCCGGCAACGAGATAGCGTAGAGCGAGGGAGCCTGTCGCAATCACATTCGCAGTTTCGTTTACATCGGAGCCTGCCACCCCGCTGTGCTCACTAATCCGTTAGGCGGTGGTGACATTACAACGGGATGCTTTAGTAGTGATGTGAAGGGTGGGACGACGCGGAGTCCCTTTGTATAGAAACAGGGATGAGTCCGTCTGTATAGGCCTATAAGACATAAAGAGACGCTGGCATATATGACCACAACTAGTATAGGGTGCCAATGATGGCACATATGGTAGATACATGGATTTTGTACAGGCAGGAATGCACATGCTTGCCTGTAGATGAAAGCTCGTGATCCATGTGTTGTGATTGTAGAATTTGGTGTAAAGGTCTAAATAGAGTATTTGCTGGTTTAGCCATAGTAAATTTTATAATGACAATATAACGTGTAAAGCAATAATTGATTTCATAGCGTTAATACATTAGTTACTATGTGGGAAAGCACGTTGGTAATATCTAAACCTATACGGGAGAGTGTTATCTTCTGGAAAACTGTTCAAGAAAAACTACATAGGCCTAATTAAAATCCTTACAATAAATTGACAATAAAAAGTCAACCTAAGATTATTATTTACACAAATATAGGTTTCCATTTAAATTAATTTTAATATATTATTTGCCACTGGATTAATTGCTGATATTATGTAACCCACGCATATTCATGAAAAGACCCTTCATTATGCGATTTTTATATAAAAAAAAAGACGCTGCAAACTTGCTCTGCTTCCATCATAAAAATAGAAGCTATAGTTCTATGGGTATACCATAGAAATCGCAGCCCAATAACCTATTAATTAGGTATTAATTAGGTAACTATATATATAGGTTACAGGGCCGTAGTGGCCTCCCAAAAAGTGCCACTGCAGAAATATGTAGCCGATGCGGGGGGTCTGGGGGTACTCCCCCAAAAAAGGGAGTCTGGGCACATACAGGAGAGTAGCAACGTATTGGCAGACTCACAAACGTGTAATGCAATAATCAAAATGAAAACGTAAACATAATAAGACAAATATTTGCGCGCAATAACGCTGGGTGACATGCGTTCAGCAGTTCATTTGTGGCATCTATGAGTGAGGCGTCTGCGCGCGTCGTGTGCGTGCACGTGTGCTTACCCTCCTTCACTATAATGTGCATACAAGCACATACGCGCGTGTGTGCGTGTGTGTGCATGTGTGCGTGTGTGTGTCAGGGCCGTAGTGGCCTCCCAAAAAGTGGCACTGCAGAAATATGTATCGGATGCGGGGGGTCTGGGGGGTACTCCCCCAGAAAAATTTTGAAATGTAGAGCCTGGAAATGGCATTTCCTGCATTTTCAGGCTATGTTGAAAGCAACCAATTCTGATCATTTTAAAAGGTCAATTTGTAAATTTCAAAGAAGAAGGTAGCTAAAGCTGATGTTTTGACTAAAGTATCTAAAATATATATTATGAGTATGATAACTAATAAAACATTATTTACAAAATTGTATATACTATCAGTACATAATTATGAAAAATAAGCCTATTTTCAATCTGCATTTATACTTTCACTATGTACATCTGTATGTTTTGAAGTTTGAATTTGAATAGGCACATTAATTTGTCATATTAAATACACATTCCAAATCTTAGAGCACTGATATAACACCTCTAATTGATCAGTATTAATAGTAATACCAGACAGTCCAGTCAGATAACTTGTCATTATATTTTTTTATTATTCCAATTTTATCTTTTCTGCCTGGATGGCAACTTACAAATTCTGAAATTACATTTTGTTCATCTACCTTGTCTAACATGTCTCGGTGCACATGCATGACCATTGCATTGTTGAGCCTTAACTGGGTCGTGCTGGGTCGGGGGGAAAGCACTCCATATATATTGCATGGTAGGAGAGACCCCCATTTTCAACCCTATCCCTAAACTTCCGTTCCAGTGCATCGCATTTTTAAGAATATCTCGTTCCAGAGCATTAAGTTTAGTTTCCATGCAGATCATACATTTTTGCCGTTCCGGAGACCCTAATGTGTGTGTGCGTGTGCGTGTGCGTGCGCGTGCGTGTGCGTGCGCGTGCGTGTGCGTGCGTTTATCTCTCTCCGGGTCATGTTTTTTCTCTTCTACATAATACAACAATGATTGGTTCAAGTGCTACTGCATAAATTTTAAAGCAAATCACTGTTCCCCCCACAGTTCCGGAGACCCCCACTAGACGTGTCCAGTGTCATAGCATTGAATTTCAACGAAATCCTAGTTCCGGAGACCCCCATTTTCGAACATACCGACCTTGATGTGTAAGGTACTCGTGACTCGACAAAGATATATATACATGTAACTCTGCAGTCTGCAGAGATAGGGTTACAATAGAAACATTGTCGGGCTGAGGTGTCACCTTGACTGAATCAATCAGGTTCAGGTTTTATGATTTATTCTTGGGTGTACATGCCTATACTGTAAATTCACACACAAGCCCAACAATTCGAGGCTCAAACCTGAGTCCATATGTCTACAATATTGAATTGAACAGTTCTTATTTCTACTTAAAAAAACCAAGGTAAAGAACTAGTGAGGTTGCTAATTGCCATTTCATTACACATGTAAAATTGCCCTGTCATGCATAGAGTTTATATAAGTTAGCTCTCCAGATTATCAGCAATGACGTCACACCAATTCATACGAGACCAATGTGCACGAGACACACTGACCCGATTCTGGACAGCAAACTTAATCTAACACTGTGCAAGATGGCAAGCATTTTCATATATCAACAGAAATAGCATTTAGCAACATCGACAATGTTCCAGTTGCTATTGATATGGTGGCAAACTTTGATGTGAATAAACTTGAATTGAGTGAGTTCACAAAATCAGGTTCATAAGTGTAAAGTGAAACCACTGTGGCGGTATGTGCAGCCCAGAATAAATGATAAAACCTGCTCGAGTGATTCAGTAAGGGCAGATCCGCTGCCAGGTGATGTTACCATTGTAAGACAATCTCTGTAGATTTTCATATTTATTTCTATGTAGGATGTTAAAAGAAAGTACAAATGCTCGGGTACATTCACAGCAGTCAGTAGTAAACTATCATCATAACCTTATAAATATTAGTCTTCAAAAGTCCTAGGGACTATAATGAAAACGGAGAGAGAAGTGGATCAAATCGATAGATTAACACTGCGGATTGCAGTGTAAAAAGTTGCAATTTTGCAATTTACCAATGATGAAGGAAGAGAATTGCAATACGAAATGACAGAAACAAGGAAGCTAAACTTAGTTAAAACGATCCTTAGAAGATGGCACATGCCGAAAACAATGATCACGCTCAGATGATCGAGTGCATCGGACAGGCTTCATAAACACAAGACGGGAATGGCAATCTTCACGCTGAACATGAATTGTTATGGAAAGTTATTAGTTTAGCAAGAAGAAAGCCAGAACGAAGAAGGAGGCCAATCAAGAAGAGCCAAAACAACATCAACACCATCTTGATAGTTTTTGGAAACCCATCTCGCAGCTTTATGCTGAATCAGTGAATGGCATCCAATTTAGAGGCGCACAGTCACAGAACTGGTCAGAAGAGCCATTTACCAAATCATTATCATGTAAGAGTGACAATGTTGCCTACAAACAGCACTGCCTAAAACAATAACAGCAGCTTGCAGGGTATACGGTGGCCATTAAACCATATAAATGTGGAGTGTTGTCGTTTTAATAATCATAATACTAGCAAAGAGGGTAAGATACGACGTGATCACACATAACTAAAACTAGTTACCATCGCCATGTTTACTACCATAGAAATAGATAGACAACTAGTGTAGAACTAGATAGAATAGTTGTCTATCTATTTCTATGTTTACCAAAGAGCTTAGAATGATCATTCTAAGCTCTTTGTGTTTACTACAGCGCCAAGATATTTTGTAACCAGACCTCTCATTGGCCCTGGATTAAATGTAAGCAAAGACCTGTCATTGGCCCTGGATTAAATGTAAGCAAAGACCTATCATTGGCCCTGGATTAAATGTAAGAAGTGGCAAAACCATAGAGTTATATATATTAGAACCATCTAATATATATTTGAGTTCGTATGTACTTATTATGTATACTGTATCGTATCTATGTATGTATCTTTCCCTATAGGCGGTCAAACGCGCCCAAGCGATCTGGATGCAATTTTTCACAGGGCCATCTCTTATACCCCGGGCGTGTTCGTAGCTGAAAAACGGCTGTAAACCGTCAAACTCGCCGAAAAATCCGTGAAAAACCCCTCCAATTCGGCAATCTTCACACAATGTCAGCACAGCCTATGACTAATGATTTTCTTGCCCTCACCTCATGATCTCCATCAGCTGCTGGTATTGTGAAACCGAAACCGGAAATCGAAACTAAAACAGAGCATAACCACGCAGCCAGCCCATTCAGAGGTACTACTCCTCTCAGTTCAGAGTTCGCGTTGTTTCAGATGCTACGATCTGGAAATGCTCTGTACCAATTCCAAAGCTATGCATTTTCTGATTCAATAACAAAAATTTCTTAATTTCAATGTGCATGGTTGCACGCCAGAGCATTCACTAGACCAATAATCCAGTGGACAAGAGACCCCACGCTCGCTGGCCTGTCTCTAAA